GTTGAGTTTGACTTGAAATTCTGTCTTTTACTCTTCTATATGATTTTTAAACTGCTCGTTACTGCTTTCAGACCTTATTTACTTTAGTTACTTACTGAGTTGGCGTACTCACGTTACTCCCTACACCTTGTGTGCATATCCAGGTGCCCGAGCAGCAGAGTGAGGATCCTCAGCATTGTCAGAGTTTGTCGGAGACTGCAAGGCAACTGCATGGCGTCCGCAGCCCTGCTTTCTTCCTGTTTTCCTTGTTTTTCCACATTTTATACTTGTTATGTATTAGACAGTCATATTCGTATATTTAGAGGCTCTAGACTCGTGACACCAGATGTTTAGGTTGTGCTGGTTTAATGTTTTATTGATTTCCGCACATTTTTATTTGTTTTATACATTTCTTATGAAAATTAAGATTTAAACTCGTGTTAGAAAATGGTTTTATAAAAGAAATTCGTTGTGATTAATGATTTGGGTTGGCTTGCCTAGTAATGTGATAGGCGCCATCACGACCGGGTATTTGGGGTCGTGACAATAAGATAATTTGTAAGCAAATATTATAAATTATATATGTTAACGGATAATTCAAATAAAAGTGAAATCATTGAGATACAAGATAATTAAATATATATTACATTATGGTAAAATTCAGACCAAATACTATATAAATATTCAACTTTCACATCTAGTATGCTCTCATAAATGATCTATTAATGCATTATGAAGTGCAAAATGAGCATCTTTGTGGATTCTATTGTCGATCCGACCCGTCGTGAATTTTTGCGACAAGAACAATAACGAATAATGTATAATAGAAGTCAACAGTTTCTGCAGTCACAACCACAACAATCCTCGGCCTCATTCACTCAATACTATAATGGTTTTGGTGTATTTGAAAATAATATAGGTCCCTACTAAGTTATTATGCTATTTACCGTAGTTTTAATTTTTATGTATTTTAATTTAATGTATTTTCAGTTTTCACTTTTCAATTTTAGCAACATCTAATACTTTATATCGCACCTTTTAATTTTAGAAACATCTAATATTTTATATTTGCACTCATTTTTTGAAATGGTTATATATTTTTTGTACAATTACAACTAAAATCAACTTACAATTTTACATAAAAATAATAAATTCACGAAAATTAATTTATCAAAATTATACGCCAAAGTTAAGATGTAAAATTAATATTATAAAGATATTACATAAATATAATTAGGTATATATAAAAAAAATAATAAAATAATAGAAAATAGTAATGGAGAAGATGAATAGTGGAGTGTCACTATTCATCCCCTATTTTGCAGCCAAAAATGCAGCAGCAATCAAGACCAATTTCTCCAAAAACCAACTGCATTATAGCAAATGCAGTTGGCGTTGGAGATGGCCTTAAGAGATGCAAGTTGTAATTTTCTCTCTCTATATATATATGTTAAGTTTTTCTTTTAAAGTCTTTTCTTAATAAGTAGCTACGTTGTTTATTTTCTTCTCTTCATTCAACATTTTAAAATTAGAAAAGCAAATGCATAGTGATATTATAGTAATAGCTCTTCAATATACACACACAAAAAAAGATTCTCAGTCCACTATTATAAGTATGATCCAACACGAAAAGCAATTATACAGATCAAAAGAGATATTCCGAAACAGTTGCTTGCACATGAAGAGAATGACGGAGGAATAGCAAAAACCCTAGAATCCTGGAGGGCCATATATATGTATAGTGGAGAACACCTCTGTATTGAAATTTTAGCGTATGTTTCTTTACGATGGTACATAACAATTGTGTTCTCTTTACTTGTGCACATTGTAGTATTATATGGATGTCTAGGAGTAACAAAATGGTTAAAAGAAAAAAGTTAATTACTCATATTATTTACTAAAAATGGGTTGGATAATGAACTTTTTAAAAACGAGTCAAATATTAATATGGATAAGAATCATATTATCCATCTAGAAAATGGATAACCAATGGCTAACCAATAGATCTAACTTTTACATTTGTAAAGCCTCAAATTGGGAGGTCCTCAAGTTAGGGAGACTAAGAATTCTCCCAAAAGTGATCATATGTAAGAAGTCATGGATAATATGGTTACCCATATTACCGTCGGTTTACCCGTTTTCTATCCGTATTAAATACAGGTCGAGTCGGATAATTTAACCGTTTTTCATTACCCGTTTTTGACCCGAATCATATTTGACCCGCCCATTTGCCACATACATGTATGTCTATTCCTAATTGTTCTACTTGGTAATCAGGGTATCTACAGAGTTTTGTATGGGTTCACGTGAATCCGTGTTCTAAATATATATGCATGCACTCCGGCTTAAAGAATCTTGTAATGCCATATTATTAAATGCATATTTACATGTAAAATCCAAGTTTTAAAGTCCCACAATTATATCTTGTTGTGTTTTAATTTCCTTTCTTTTTTTTTTTAGAATTGAGCCCCAAAGTTAAAATCTCACGTTTGTTTTAGTACTTTTTCCTTTCCAATTCTGAAATTGGGTCCGACCATGGGATAGGCATGTTTGGGTTCGTTATATTGCGTTTTAATTAAGTATTTTTTTTTTAAATTTATTCTTTCAAAATCCTCAAATTTGATTTTGTATAATCAAATTGCATGTCTATATTAAAATAGCAGTATCGGAAGATATAGCATATAGCAATAGATTCAACTGAACCCAATTTTTTTGATATATATATATATATATATGAAAAATTATTAAAAGCGCGCCTAATATAACAAAAAATTAATTTTGAACCTATAATTTTAAATGTAATGAGTTCATGAAAAAAACCCTAAAAGTAAACCCTTCACTCTTTGTAATAGTGCACTCATCCTCTTGATATCTTGGATACACTTCTGTTAGTAATATTTATTTCGTACATAATGTTAGGATATTTATAAATAATATACAAGGGCAAACTAACCTTAGGTTATGCTCATAGTATATTTAATTTGTACGAAGAAAATGGTTGGAGATCAATTAACTAATCGACTTTCAAGAAATGTGTCTATTGGGCATATTAGATCTCAAGGACTTGGGAGGCTTTGATATAATGTAATTTTACTTATTTATTTTCCCAACATTCACAAATTATTATTTAGTATTTATATGAGGGAATTTTATTAGTTTATATCGCACTAGTTATGAATAGTGGATTATAGTTGTTAATGTAAAATCGTGATGCATGAGGTCAAAAGGAAAGATGCATCAATATGAGTCATATGAATCTAGTGTACCTGCATATATCTTTTGATCTACTTGAGGATTTTCGAATAAAGCTTATTTATCTTGAAACAAATTAAAGAAAATATGTTTTCTTGAATTCGTAGAGCTTGAGCACTTTGTTATATGGGAGTAGAAGATGTTTGGGGTTTAGGACTACTCCACCCATGAAGGGTGCTAGGCACATTATTATTATTATTCCAAACCCAATAATTTATATACTAATTGACCATCCAACCCCTAATTAGAGAACATATATAAATCATAATATATCGTCAAAATTAAGTGTGGAAAACAAAAGGATACTTCACAATTCTAAGGTTTCATTATCTCTGCAAAAGCAAAATTGATTTTTGCTATGAAATAATGGAATTCATCCGAAAATTCAAGATAACAGAATTCATATTTTACGATCGAAAATTCAAGTGATGTACGAAAAACTTGTATTCTGTTTAAACTATGTAATGTGATTGAATAAATATTTCTTTTGTTACCGGAAGAAGAAGCTTATATTATTCATTCTTCAACTAGAATATCATTTAATAAGGATAAATAGTTAGTTAGAGGTATGTGGTTACGCAAGTCTGGGATTGATGTGATGTCATTTTCTGTTCCACCCCATTGGTCTCCTTTTTTCAACATCATACTAATGGTGGTCCTCCTTCATATAATAATACTAATAATAATATATGGTCCTTTTTGGCTTAGAATGCAACACACAAATAGGGGAGAATTTCCGCAAGCAGCTTATTCGCCAGCCCCAACAGCATTCACACTTAGGAGTAGCAAACGGGCGGGGCGGGTCGAATATGGTTCGGATCGAAAACAGTAATGAAAAAACGGATCAATTATCTGACCCGACTCATATTTAATACGGATAAAAAACGGGTTAACCGGCGGATAATATGGTTATCCATATTATCCATAACTTCTTGTATATGATCACTTTTGGGAGAATTCTTAGTCTCCCTAACTTGAGGAACCCCCAATTTGAGGCTTTACAAATTTAAAAGTTAGACTCATTGGTTATCTATTGGTTACTCATTGGTTATCCACTTTCTAAATGGATAATATGGTTCTTATCCATATTTGATCCGTTTTTAAAAAGTTCATTATCCAACCCATTTTTTAGTGGATAATATGGGTGGTTAACTATTTTTTTTGAACCATTTTGTCACCCCTGTTCACAATAGGAAGGACCCCTCTCTATGTGCTTTGCACATGGAGATATATGTAGCTATAATATCCTATTAATTATTACACACTCCATTGAGGGATGGGGTTGCACGTGGACATCAAGGATGTTTAATGTTTAATATATATATTTTTGGTATATATGTATTATAAAAAAATTATAACCTATATGCATAATATAATTTTCTAACGAAAAAGGTGCCTTTGCTCTATGTGACTGTGCCTCTTGGAGCAAGAGTGGAGCTCCCTTGCATGAAGGGATTTAATTGAATTCCTTAGTCAAAATATTGGATTATGCAAGTAGGTAAAGATAATTTCTTTGTGTATAGATAAATTGTTGAGTTTTGTATACATCACTATTGAAGCTTTCTAGCATGGTAGTAAAACTGTTTAAAATTATTTAGGTCGTATGTTTGAAATTCCGATTTAGCATTTTAACATTTTCTTGAATCCTCTTATTAAAACTCTTGGCTTTGGTATGGGATTGGGAGGGGAAAAAGGCAGGGGGGGATTTTCAAGGTGTATTTATTAAAGGAAATATTGATCATTAATAGGATTAGAAATTAAAACGAGACTATAGCTTAATAGCATGTCATTGTTCCAAGCAAAAATTTACATAAAGTTTCCAAGAATTGTCTTGTCAAGTAAAAAAGCAAAAGCTCATGTCAATTATTACAATTCAGAGTATATTGTAGTGAAGGGAAGCAAGAGAGAAGATGGCTCTGACCAAGACAACTAGAGGACAAGTTACTTAGTAGCATAAGAGGTATGGCCCTTGTTCCCTCTTTCTTCCTTTTGTGAAGCATTTAGATTGGACTTTTTGCCATTTTCACTTTTAAAAAAGGGCCAATAACATGGGTTGGCAAGAGCTATACGCTAGGAGAGAATTGTTTTGAGGATCCCTTTTTTGTAGACAATTCAAGAAGTGGCTATAACATGGGGTTGTCACTCATTATTTTAGGATACATGCCAAACAAGTAAAAAGGGAAAGCCTAAAAAAATAATTTTTATGGTATGATAATGCTAAGCCAATCTTCACAAAAGTTATTTTCCATTCATTCACACCTTGTAAATGGAAAAAAAAAATGTAGCTTTTTTTCTTTACCTTTTTTTAAGGACAAGCCCCTTTGGTTTAATTTTTGCCACCACCTTATGAATTATGAATCATTCTTTGGTCTTTCTCTTTGTCAGAGTTCTTATCCATCCATGTCTCACCTTCACTCCTTCTAATTTGGTGGTGGATGATCTCTTCAATCTGATGAGCTGGAAAATGTGTCCAATCCGCTTCCGCCACCTAAGCTGCATACGTGGCTTTGCATGCCCTATTACTGCTCCTCCTCTGCCCTCCTTGCTTGAGCTTCTGCTCCAATTAGACATATTGTCACATTGCTTAAGTGACACCTTTGGTACTGTGCCAGCTCCTCCCTTCTCCCATGAGGCAACTCCATTATTTTCAAACTTTATTGATATAAAAGAGTCTACAAAAAGTTATAAATTAGAGTTAATCTATATTCAAAAAGAAGAAAAAAAAAAAAGAGGAAAAGGGAAACTAGAAAAATAGAGAAGTCAATGTGTAAAACAATTAATTATTGTTAATTTACGTGCATCTAAAGTCATTCACAATTTTTCATCATCAACGAAAAGCAAAAAAGGAGGAAATATACATAAAACAGAAGTAAAGAGAAATAATCATTGTTGTATTATATACAAGCAATAAAAAGCAGAATAGAAGAAAAATGTCTACAAAATTAAGGAAAACATTGTTATTCCTCATATATAAAAAAGCGTCGTCAAAACAAAAATGGGTAAAGTGAAAGAAGGAAAAGAAAAAAGAGTTCTCAATAGTCATACTTAATTTGATTTGAGCATTATTAATTATAAGTACGCAACAAAAATAGTATAGTAGCTATAATTTGTATGCATGTTTTACGTAACACATAATTATGTAACTACATGCACTTTGTATGGAAAGTTTGCTCGAAACTCAACTGTGAAAACAGGACGCTATAATTAAAAATACCTATAAGTAAAACTAAAAGGCCCTTAAGTAATGATAAAAAGTCATGGCACTTATTCGGTGGTAGTTATTCATTTGTTACCTAATTCTCAAAATTACTGGCCGTTGTGACTTCAGATAAACAGAACTTAAAAGTAATAGCAAGGTTTTAGGCCACATTAATTTAGCTATTTTACCCAATAATACTACCACATAAATGTCCAAATATATACAACCACGATAAAGCAGAGGCTGAATATTTCAAATACATCATAACTTCTCAAGAAAAGGGGTTACTCCAAAAAGAAAATTAAAAAAAGGTGGGGCGAAGGATGGGTAGTGACGAAGACGGATGCGATAGATTTGATCCAACATTTTTCACACAGAGCATAAATATGTTAATCTGAAAAACTAGTAAATTTTCAAAAACACAAAATTCTGAATCCATAATTAAAAAAATGTAAGGATTTCAGCGGTATTGATATTAAAAATTCGAACTCGTCAAATTTAAATTTTGAATTCGCCTCCTAACAGTAGAATATAATATATTAGCTAAGGGTTTAGACAAACTCAATAACTTTTGCTTAAATCTTATATTTATATAAAAAGAAATCTATTAAAAATATATAAATATTTAATTGCAAAATAAAAAACTAAAATGAGCTATAATTTAGATGAAAAAATCAAAATTCATAACTTCAAATTCTGGCTCCTAAATTGAAAAAAAAAGGAGGAAAAAGAAATTAATGCTAACCTTCATAGCTGCAAGTGGAAGAAGCATCATCATGAATAATCTCTTCGACTTTGCGGGCATGTCTAATGTCAAGGCGACTGAGAAGAGAGCTCAAAGCAAACATCTTTGGCAGATAATGAATTCTTGATTGACGATCATGGTCATTGTTCTTCTTTTCTGCACTCAAGAAACTGTAGTAGTTTTGATCTCTGGTCTTTGATGTTTTAATCTTCTTTTCTTGCTTAGAAGCCAAGACTAGAAGCCTTTCATTTAAGCACAAAGCACATACTCCTATAACCACTTCTTTGGGATGGAAATAACACAAGGTAGTGTTGTCATTCATGTTAATTAATTAGTTGCAGAAAAAGAGGAAGGAGGAGAAGTTACAAAGAATGTAATAAAGAAAATGTGTGAGTTGAAAGAATGAAAAAAGTGTGTTTGTGTGTTTTGTGTTTTTACATGGAAATATATATGGCTCGAGCATGTGTTAACCCCCCTTATGATGTTGACTGAAAATTGGTCATTAAGTTGATCGAGGACGAATCATCAACAAAAATCTATGAACACAACTTTTAGAAGTGTTAAATTATGTAATAAACTAATAGTTGTATAAAAGAATTTTTACATATAGGTGTATTTTGATATGTTATATGTATCTTACTTCTAAGTTTTTTTGGTCAATTGGAGATATATATATATATATATATATATATATATATATATATATATGTTCGTAAATTGTATTTGTAAACTAATTCTGAAAAAAAAATAGAATAACATATAAACAGAAAATATAAAGAAACAAAAGTTAATCCGAGCCCACCAAATTCACAGTGTTTTCTTAAGGAATTTAATCCCTTCCTAGTACCCAAGGTTATGGATTATTTCCTCCAAGGATAGAAGGAATTACACACTGGTATAGTGGTACTTCAAACTTCAGTGTTTCAGCGAACACAAAGTTCGGTAGCAAATCACACTTACTGTTGCTTTCTTTGAAGATAAAATAATGCAGAAGAAAGGAGGAGAACTCAAAAAATCGTATGGAAATTCTAAGAGAATGGACTTGTATTTATAGCCAATATTGGGTTGAAAACTGAAGAGGTGCAACTCTTCAGAATGGTTGTTTATGCAAAATGGTCATAGCATAAATACCATAACATAAATGGCTATTTACTCAACAATAAACCGGGAGAATTGAAGAGGGAGGTTAATTTTCAGTTACAAAACTGAAAAACGGAAAAATAATAATGGAATTGGATTTAATATTTATTTATTTTGATAACTAAAATTTTTATTACCAAGTAATGGATTTAATATTAATATTTTATTATTAAAATGGATATTTAATAACATTATTTCTGTTAATATTTACTATTAACAAATAAATTTGGTCCAAAAAATTAATCAATCAATCGTTTCACCAAATCCGAAGTCGAAGCCGAGCTGAGCGACGACGACGACGACGACGGCCCGAGGCTTGCCTTCTTCTCAACTCTTTAAGAGCTAGAAGAAGAGCAATTGCTTATATACCCATTAAAATCTCTTCCCCTACCAATATGGGACAATGTCCCTTCATCGAGGAGGGAATCTCAAATGAAACTCAAATATTTCATTTTCCCTCNATATATATATATATATATTGTTTTAAAATAATTACACCATAATATGAGAGGTTGAGCTCTCATGAGTTCTATCTTCATTGTCTAGCATTACACTAGTAATTTTTCTTGTAAATACAATTCCTAGGATGTCTGCCCACATTGCGTCATTTGCAAACACCAGAGGAACTCCCAAAAACTTGATCCTTTAAAAAATTTCTTTTCTGGTTCCTTCCTTGAGGTCCGCTACTTGGTTCTGCTCTCTGAAGCTATGTCCTGGTGTTGGGCTCCCCAGCTGCTCCATCAAGGATCTGCATTCATAAGTAATATAATGAAGGTTTTCATACTTTAGCATTTTTATAACTAGTTCAGAATCAGTGTTGATCTCTAGGGGTATCAGAGTATGGTCAAGTGCAATTTTTAGTCCCAGCCAAAGGGCTTGGAGTTCTGCCATGATACTAGTAGTATGTGGCATCCCCTTCATGTAACCTAATACCTAGTCTCCCATATTATTCCCGAATACTCCACCAACTCCCCCTATTCCTGTGGTAGTACATGCATCCCCGTCAGTATTTGATTTATAGTACCCAATAACTGGTGGCTGTCATTTATGTGAATAGTGGTTGTGTTTGTGGTGGCTCTATGGTGTACTGCGACATGATGGTATTCTAGATCCCTAGTAATGGATTGATCAACAGGGTTGTAGTTTCTCTTTTTATCAAACACATTATTGTTTCTAGTTAGCCAGATGCTCCAGAAGCAGAAAGGTAGTTGGAATTTCCAACCAATTATGTTACTGAAAGGCATCTTCTTTAGCTTATTCTAGGTGTATTCCTAGTTTTGCATGGAGAAAAACAGGAAATGGTAGCATGCATGGTTAGTGCATTCATGTGACAATTTAAACTAAAATATTTTGGCATTAATACATACAAAGAAAATGAGGTTGATGTCTTCCACGTCTGTATAACAGAAGTAGTAGAGGGGGTGACATTCAGATCAATGTGATGTAGGTGTTTCATGTTGGCAGCATGTTGTATTGCATGAGCCAAGTGAACATTTTAACTATATTTGGGACCTTAAGCCTCCATATCCAGCTAAATTGGTCATCTTGTTCTCAGATCATAATCAATGAAAGAGTAGGCAGTTTTTACACCGAATATCATATTGCTTGTGAGGTTCCAGATTAGCTTGTCTTCAGTACTGGTAGTATAGGCAATGAAGGTGTATTGAATAACATTGGATATAGCCTGAGGAATGGGGTAGTGTACAACACTGAAGTTCCACTCCCCATTGGAGTATATTGAATTAAATTTCAAAGTAATTTCATTATCTTGATAGGGGTCTTGAAGGATGAAGTGGAATGGCTGCAAGTCAGAGATCCAGATGCCAATTAAGAAATTCACTTTATCCTCTTTATGAACCATCCATGTAGAAGCTTTTGTGCATACCTTTCAGCCCTCCTGAATGCATTTTCATGTTTTAGTTTTGACCTTAGCCTGCTCTGCCTCCCACTACAATATTTTTTCATTGAGAATCTAGCCCAAATTGTGTCAGTGTTGTGGTACATTCTCTGGCTAGGCTTGCATGACTAGCCTTGTTCTTCATATGGGCTTGTTGTAAACCAAGTCCCCCTCCCTATTTTTTGGCTTAGTCATTGTATCCCATTTAACTAAATGTAGCTTTCCTTTTTTCTGAAGTGGTGCCCCAAATAAAGTTCCTTTAGATTCTGTCTATTTGGTTAGTTATATGGGATGGCAGTTTAATGTATTGCATCACATGGCTGGGAATACTTTTCCGGCTTGAATTTGCCAATGTTGTACGGTCAGTCATGTTTAAGAACTTAGTTTTCTAACCTGCAAGCTTTGTGTTCATGTTGTCGATAATGAACTAGAAACCATTATTTGTGGATCTTTTGTGGAAGATGGGAAAGCCCAAGTATTTACCAAAATTTGTGCTTTTCTTAATTCTTAACATGGAGCTACATAGGATTGGCCCAATCATCCTTACAGTTGGTTGAGAAGATAACCTTGGATTTCAGGAAGTTGACCTTATATCCTAAAGCAGCATTTAACTCCTCTGATCTAGGGAAGCCAAGATAGTATCACAATTTTTCCTATTGGCTCTAGCACACAAAGTAGGGTTATTAGCAAAGAATATGTGTGATATTTTAGGACCACCCCTGTTGATGCTGAGGGGAATCAATATTTTCTAAGTACTGCATTCTCAATTATCCTAGATAGCCTCTCCATAAAGATTAATGTTTGACAAATAGCAATTAAGCATAGAAATACCAGTCAAGCATGTAGTAGTTAAGGCAGCAAAAGACAATATAAGAAGAACGGGAAATAAATAGGCAAAACAGATAAATTGGTTGCGGATAGGTATTCGTCACCTCACCTATACGCCACTCACATGGATTTTCACATAGCAAATAAGTCAAGGGTTCCTAATCCCTCGAGTCAAAGTTAGACACGATACTTACTTCGGTCTACAGGCCACTCACTGCTCAATTACCACTTCTCCTCTAGATTCCACCTCTAAACTACACGTATCTAACCACNCCGATTCCCCCCAAATCCCTAATTTCTACCATGAAAGAACAAAATTTAAGACTAGAAATCTAATGGGTGATGTTGGAAATTGAAGGAAACGAGTTAAAGAGTACAACCTATGATTTGGTGTTGAATTCCTTTTTCAAAAATCGCCCTAGGTCGAGTTCTAGTGAAAAAGTTGTGAAATTTTGAAAAATTCTTGTTTCTGGTATGTTTTTAATTCACTGGACAGGCCTTCTTCGCGTTCGCGAACGGCCTGTCGTGATCTCGAGAAACAGCGGCCCAAAGGCCTACGTGTTTGCGAGTCTCACTACGCGTTCGCGAAAGGATGCTCCCCTCTACCTTCGCGTTCGCGACCCAATGATCGTGTTCACGTAGAAGAACAACTCACCCCTCCCCCAGGTCCCTAAGCCATCGCGTTCAAGTCGAGCTGGTCGCGTTCGCGAAGGGTAAAGCCCACATTGCTCCGCGTTTGCGACCCAGTCTCTACGTTAGCGAAGAGTAAATTCCTCCCCATCCCAGTTTCCCCTTCGCGATCGCGTGAATGGCTTCGCGATCACGAAGCACAAAGCATCAGCACACCAGTAGCAGCAAAACACACCATATTTCTAGGTTTCAAACTACCCGTAGCCTATCCGAAACTCGCTTGAGCCCTCAGGGCTCCAAACCAACCGTGCACATAGTCTAAAAATATTATAGGGACTTGAATGAAATTTTTAAGAACACTTGAAATTCCTATTTTCACAACGGGACGTCCAAATCACGTCAAATCAGTTGCGTTTCTCATCAAATTTCACAGATAAGGTATAAATAATTATTTTGGACCTGTACCGGGTTCCGGAACTAAAATACGGGTCTGATACCAACAAGATCAAACATTAACCAAATTCTTAAAACCATTTAATTTTCAGTCTTTCAATTTTCATTAAAAATTCATATCTCGAGCTAGGGACCTCGGATTCTGGGCATACGCCCAGGACCCATATTTTGATACGGACCTACCGGGACTGTCAAAGCACGAGTCTGGTCCGTTTACTCAAAACAACAACTGAAGTCAACTAAATTAACTTTTTAAGGCAAAAATTATTATTTTTATCAACTTTCAACATAAAAGCTTTTCCGGAAACACGCCGGACTGCGCACGAAATCGAGGAGGGATAAAATAAGGTTTTAAAGGTCTCGGAACACGAAATCGAGTTCTAAAACATAAGATGACCGTTTGGGTCATCACAATTTTAGTATGGGGGACTCCATTAGTAATATCGGGGGATTTCGGTGGTATTCGG